TTGAATTAATTACCCATATAACATATTAACCATAAACATATTTCCAAAAACAATAATGATATGTACATATATTTTTTTAATCTTTACGTGGCTCTCTGAAATACTTGATTCTGGCTGGTCACTCGCAGGCCATTTCAGTTTGATATAAAAAAAAAAATTGTTTGAATTACCCATATAACATATTAACCATAAACATATTTCCAAAAACAATAATGATATGTACATATATTTTTTTAATCTTTACGTGGCTCTCTGAAATACTTGATTCTGGCTGGTCACTCGCAGGCCATTTCAGTATGTTTGATATAAATAATATACATAATGTGTAAATAGTACAGTTATTCAATTCCCTTTCCTGGCTTTCCAATTCAGCTTCCTTTGGTGTATGGCCAATTCTTAGTTCTTATGAACTTGAATTAGAAAAGTCATGAATTAAATGGAAGCTGATCCTAAAATTCAGACCAATTTTAGTGAAAAGGCTACAAAACATCTGGAAGAAGAACAGAGACATTACATCATATCTCCAGGAGCAGATGGAGCTGTGCTCTGTGGAGAGACCGGGGCCAGTGCCTGGGCTGCCGGAGCGGGAAGGGAGGTGACTCACGGAGGTAGTGCCACCGGCAGAGGACTGACCACATGACGAGATGCTACCAATGAAGAAATGAGGCATTCACGTTGCTCTGAAGACTGTTTTCTACTTTCAAAGGTCACTAATACTAACTCAAGTATGTTATACAGCTGAAACCTTGCAATAAGGTCTGAGTATTCTAAAATGAAAATAATGATTGTGTTACCTGAGACCACTGTTTGGGACTCTGCTGACACTCCTGGTGAACGGGTCAGGCACTGAGCGTTTGTCAAGTACGTTGAGCAGCTTTTTCCTAATGCATGATACACGGGAATCAAAATGGAAAAAAGATCCATTTATGTCATGCTCAGAACACAACACATGCTGCAGTGATACATTCAGAGACATTGATGAAACAAAAAGCACAATAAGCATCCAGTGGTTAACCTGCTAAATTCCATCTAAAGCTATATTTTATAATCCTTTAATAATTATTATGCATGCAGCTTTTATAATCTTGTAAAATGTATTTGTCCCAAAGCAGGACCATTTAAAATGTACTAATCAAGGCAAAAGAGCTACTGTAATAATTTTGTTATGAAAAACATATATATATATATATATATTATTATTAAAAAAAAAATTGTTTGAATTACCCATATAACATATTAACCATAAACATATTTCCAAAAACAATAATGATATGTACATATATTTTTTTAATCTTTACGTGGCTCTCTGAAATACTTGATTCTGGCTGGTCACTCGCAGGCCATTTCAGTATGTTTGATATAAATAATATACATAATGTGTAAATAGTACAGTTATTCAATTCCCTTTCCTGGCTTTCCAATTCAGCTTCCTTTGGTGTATGGCCAATTCTTAGTTCTTATGAACTTGAATTAGAAAAGTCATGAATTGAATGGAAGCTGATCCTAAAATTCAGACCAATTTTAATGAAAAGGCTACAAAACATCTGGAAGAAGAACAGAGACATTACATCATATCTCCAGGAGCAGATGGAGCTGTGCTCTGTGGAGAGACCGGGGCCAGTGCCTGGGCTGCCGGAGCGGGAAGGGAGGTGACTCACGGAGGTAGTGCCACCGGCAGAGGACTGACCACATGACGAGATGCTACCAATGAAGAAATGAGGCATTCACGTTGCTCTGAAGACTGTTTTCTACTTTCAAAGGTCACTAATACTAACTCAAGTATGTTATACAGCTGAAACCTTGCAATAAGGTCTGAGTATTCTAAAATGAAAATAATGATTGTGTTACCTGAGACCACTGTTTGGGACTCTGCTGACACTCCTGGTGAACGGGTCAGGCACTGAGCGTTTGTCAAGTACGTTGAGCAGCTTTTTCCTAATGCATGATACACGGGAATCAAAATGGAAAAAAGATCCATTTATGTCATGCTCAGAACACAACACATGCTGCAGTGATACATTCAGAGACATTGATGAAACAAAAAGCACAATAAGCATCCAGTGGTTAACCTGCTAAATTCCATCTAAAGCTATATTTTATAATCCTTTAATAATTATTATGCATGCAGCTTTTATAATCTTGTAAAATGTATTTGTCCCAAAGCAGGACCATTTAAAATGTACTAATCAAGGCAAAAGAGCTACTGTAATAATTTTGTTATGAAAAACATATCCACCTCCAGGTATCAGGTGGTCACATGATGCTGTCGCCTTCAAGCTTTCACTCTGTCTCAAACTGCCTCTAATTTATCTGACAATTATGTCATGAATAATTTAGACAGTACAAGATCAAAGTACATTATACAGGCATGTTGGGGAGTCACATTTATCCCTATGACAACGAGAAGCTTTATTTGTAAAATTTACACAGTAAAATAGGCAACTGAGAGAATATAAATTTATTCAAAATTGTTTTGATTGTTCTAGAATTTGAAGATTTATCCGGTCTTTTAAGATTCATCAGCTTTAGTATCAGTATTTATCAAGGCCTCTGTGAATAAAACGGGTGCTGGTTATAACTGTAACCTACAAAAATAACAATACAAAATATAAAAATTGTTTTGATTGTTCTAGAATTTGAAGATTTATCCGGTCTTTTAAGATTCATCAGCTTTAATATCAGTATTTATCAAGGCCTCTGTGAATAAAATTGGTGCTGGTTATAACTGTAACCTACAAAAATAACAATACAAAATATAAAAATTGTTTTATTTTAATATTTTAACATTTTTCAAAAATTTTCAGAAATTTTCAGAAATATTTCAAAACATTTCATTCTTTAAAACCAAATAACAGCAATATGTCAAATCAAATCTTTGCTTGGCCATTTGTTGGGATAAACAGGAAAGTGTGTCCCGCTGAATTTAATTTGAGTTTTGTTAAACTAATTAAAAAGAAGCTTAGTTTACCGCGGCTGCGGTCGTGTGAAGACCGAAGAGTGTAAAGACCATCGACTCTACCGTGCGACTCCACCGGGCAGGGACACCGGCAAAGGACATAAGTATCGCTTTTTATCTCTCCTCTTTCCACTTCTGTTTCAGGTTTTTATAAACTATTTCTTACTATGTGTCAGTAAGTTGTTGTTATTTTAGCATGCGTGTTTGCCTCAGTGTTATTTTTTTAGGATTACTGATGAACTAATGTACTTTGATTTGTATTAGTTATCTATTTTAGTTACAGTTGTAGTAATGTCATTTTATATGTATGTGTGTGTGGCTGTACATACACATATGTAGTTGTTTTTTGGTGTTTGGTTTAGTGTTATGTTAGAATCATTATTATACTCCTACCTTTTGTTCTTTTAATATTTTTTAATTGTTTTTAGCTTTATTTTTTTGTTTTTATTTAAATGTTTTAGTTTTGAAATGTTGTTGTATGCATTTGTCATTTTTATTTAATTTCTTTTATTTTCTTAAATGTGTGTATATATATAGTATTTATAGAGTTTTAGCTTTTAGTTTTAATTACTTTTTCTTATTTGTAAGTCGCTTTGGATAAAAGCGTCTGCTAAATGACTAAAAGTAAAGTAAAGTAAAGTAAATCAGAGACAATTACAATGGGCTTACTGAAGTTATAACTTGCATAATTAGTACAAGTGACCTTGCTGATGTAACCAAAGACATTATCAAACTTCCAATAATGCATAATGTTAAAGTTATGATGAGATGTGATTGTTCCTACTAAAATGCCATAACTTCACAAATAACTTACCCAATTACAATGAGTCCAGTATGTCTGTCACGACATGCTGCCCTGCAGCTGTCTGGGTAGTGCAAGAGCACAGGAGGTAGGGTGGCCCACCCAAAGCCCAATGCACAGTGCATGGGTGAAATATTCCTCTATGGTATGTATGGTACCAAGCCCAACAACTTAAAAAACAGACAGCAACATTCACACTTACACTTACAGATCAGTCATCAAAAATTTGTAACTTCTTGTTTCCTCTGCAGGTCAACATGAATGTCCTCCTCTTCCCCCCGTCCTGAACAGAGGTGCCTCAGATCTGTTCCTTCAGCTCCATCAAGGGAGTGTTTGGACACGCTACAGTGGCACAGCACAGGTGCCTGATAGTCCCCACCCTCCCCTGGATGACTCACAGGTGTGCACCTTAGCATCCATCCCATTTTTTTCCATCTTGGAATATAATTTTTTTTTGAAAATTTACTAACCCTCAGGCCATCCAAAATGAAGATGAGTTTGTTTCTTCATCAAAACCAATTTTGAGAAATGTAGCATTATATAATTCGCTCACCAATAGATCCTCTGCAGTGAATGGGTGCCGTCAGAATGAGAGTCCAAACAGCTGATAAAAACATCACAATAATCCACAAGTAATCCATCAAATCAATTAAAGTCTTGTGAATTGAAAAGCTGCAAGTTTATAACTCCATCAAGACATCCATCAAACCATTGATTCTGCATGGCTAAAATATGAATCCTCTATCCATAATATTGCTTTCTCCAGTGAAAAAGTCATCTCGTCTGAATCAGGTGAGAAATGTGCACAGATCAAGCACCGTTTTACAAGTGAAAAGAGTTCTAAACAAATATGTTGGTGGATTTTGATGTAAGAGGACAATGGGGAATGTACTTTTTCACTGGAGGAAGGGTAATTATTGATTGTGGACAGAAGCAAGGGTTTAAAGTTAAAATGCCTTAATGATGGATTTGTTTCTTACAAATACAAAGATTTTCACTTCACAATACATTAATTGATGGACTGGAGTCGTGCGGATTACAGTAATGTTTCAATATCAGCTGTTTATCAACTCTCATTCTGACGGCACCCATTCACTGCAGAGGATCCATTGGTGAGCAAGTGATGTAATGCTAAATTTCTCAAAATCGGTTTCAATGAAGAAACAAACTCATCTACAACTTGGATGGAGAATTTCCAGCAAATTTTCATTTTGGGGTGAACTATTCCCTTAAAGGATCAGATCAGATAACAAAACTGTGTAATTTTAGGTCAAGAAAGTTGCATACCTATGTTGCAATAATGTAGTATTTATACAAAAATTGGCAAAATAGTTTTAAATGGTGCATAGCATGCCACTGCAGGACATGTTCAGTCCCAAAAAGCATTTTGTGTCAAGTACTAATAGCTATTTCTCTTAAACATTAATAGATAAAGAAGACAACAAGACCTCTCTGTGCACACAGGAGCACAAACTGACACCACAGCTACAGAAGACGTAACACAGAGAAAGGGGAAAACTAATTAGCAGTGGGTGAGGGCTTCAATGGTTGGCAGGGGTCAACAAGGAAGCCCAGCATCAGTAGCGGCTCAGGTTTCCCTCACAAAGTAAACTGCACATAATTTCAGCAGGTTGCCCACCAGGGCCTAATAAAACATGCATGACCAGCATGGCAGCAGAAAGCCTCAGCTGACTGACATGGATTCTTTCTCTTGTCTGCCTTTTAGCAGCAAGCACAACGGGACAGTGATTTCACTCAGTACAAGCCTGTAAAATTTCACACCATTCCCAGGGTTCAAATAACATCAAACCTCACTTGTTAAAACAATAATCTTGCTGAAAATAATATCAAGTAATATATAAATATTTAAGCTTAGTGTAGCTAGCTTTGTATGTTTGTATGTGAACTGGGTTCTTGATGTTGTATTATCTATCTATCTATCTAATTTGGAAATGAATGCTTTGTATGATATAAAAGATAATGTTATCTGTAAATTTTATGGTATCTGTGTAGGGAAAAAAATCCTCATCAACAATTTGAAGTAATGTACTTGTTTTGATTTTTGATTTTCAGTAATTTAGTAAAACGCGAACACTAGTCGTCACTTGTTGCATATAGGCTACCGTCTAGGATATATAAGGATATTGGTAATGCAAATTAAACAGACAATCAAACAATTAAATAAAGTGTTTGCTGAGGAGAAATGCATATGTGCAAGACATTTTAATTGCTTAGTGATCTTTCCCCATACATTAGATAAAAACAGCTAATTTATTCTTAAACTCTTCTTAGCACAACAATACTCTTCTTCACTCACTTAACAATTTCTAAGGCCTTGTACATTTCCATTCCACATCTATTCAGAAGACAGTGCCTGGAAGTCAGCAGTCTTCTTTTCAAACCTGCATCAAAGGAAAGCTACACTTTTGCCTTCAACAATTTACAAAGATCAGCTCTAGTGAGGGACTTCAGTCGTAACTAAATGCTGGTGTAGATTGAGCAATTAGATATGCTCGTGCCAAAAGAAAGACTATACCCTGATTCTATGACATTAGTCTTGTATTAATTAGTTATCAAGTACTGAGCACAATTCAATTAAATATTGAAGATCGAGATCGTGCCACAAAAGAACACAGTTTTGACTGCATTGTAGGTTTTATTTATTGTACACAGCACTAAATAACAGTGTAGCCCCTTATTCCTGAAGTGCATGTGTAGTAGACAACTTTTAGGCATGAAAATCCCAAGACATTTCAATTTAAATAACAAGGACATTCTAAACATCCAAAGAATCAACAGGTTATTGTTCTAAAACTCCAGTGTCTGGCATGAAGGTGAAAGAGAAGGCGCTTACTTCAAGCTGTCATCTCTCTCTCGGACCGGACTCATATTGTCCTGAGCTCTTCTTGTCCTCTTCCATTGAAGTGTTCGCTCCGAGTCTAGCAGAGACTTGTTGAAACCACAGCGATAATGTCTGTCAGGAAAGCCATGCTGGAACTTAGGTCCGCCGCTCGGCTCAATGCGCTCTACGGTCACCTGCATTAATGAACGTGACTGACAGCTTCACCGCGCTGACAACACGAGCTGCGTTCCGCGTACGGACAGAGCAGGTGACGAGCTGTCACTCACGGGCGGGACACGGTCACTGTCTGCCGTTAACATGTCTTAATAGTGCATAGTGCAAATTCTGGGGAAGCTAATTAAGAGTTGTACCCCTCAACGGAAGTCAACACATTAGACTGAGGGGTTCTCAGTAGTGAGTAGCCTATCTATTGTTTTCACACACACACACACACACACACACACACACACACACGAGTGTTTAACCACAGAAAATTAAAAGTTAGTAGGAACACAAAAAAAAGAAGACGCTCACTAACAAAAGTCGAGAAGGTAACCATGGCAACAGTTTTCGTTCTAGCACTTTCGGTTAGAATTCGTTCAGAACGATACATAAACAAAACATCAACACTGTAATTATTTATCTATTTTTTCTCTCACAAAAATGGCATGCATATCTCAGAATGTTTTGTTTAAAATGTTTTTTTGTTTTTTTTTTATAAAATTTTATGTATAGATTTACGTTAAAGTTGACGCTATACTACAATAATGTAATGTAATTCTTTTCTGGGCGATTGTTACGATCAAACCAATTAAAGATCCAAGACACTTAAGCTCTGCTTTGAGGAAATAAAAGAGAAAGTGTACTAATCAATCTATAAATTATTAATTAAATATATCGTTATGATCACAAAATCTACACTACCGTTCAAAAGTTTGGGATCAGTAAGATTTTTATTACTTTTTAAAGAAGTCTCTTATGCAGTAATATTGTGAAATATTATTACAATTTAAAATAACAGTGTTCTATTTTAATATACTTTAAAATATAATTTATTGCTGTGATCAAAGCTGAATTTTCAACATCTTTACGCCAGTCTTCAGTGTCACATAATCCTTCAGAAATCATTCTAAAATATGCTGATTTATTATCAATGTTAGAAACAGTTTTTGCTGCTGAATATTTTTTTTGGAACCTTACAAAAAGTTTCTATTTTGAATAAATGCTGTTCTTTTTAACTTTTTATTCATCAAAGAATCCTGAAAAAAGTATCACAGGTTAAAAAACAAAACAAAAAAAGAAGCAGCATACCTGTTTACGACACTGATAATATTTCAGAAGGATCATGTGACACTGAAGACTGGAGTAATGATGCTGAAAATTCAGCTTTGCGTCACAGGAATAAATTATGATTTACAATATATTCACATAAAAACACTTATTTTAAATTGTAATAATATTTCACAATATTACCATTTTTTCTGTATTTTTGATGAGCATAATAGACTTCTTTAAAAAGTAATAAAAATCTTACTGATCCCAAACTTTTGAGAGGCAGTGTGAATAATAAACACAACGGATGCAAAATAAACTGAAATATAGCTAGAATACTATCATATAGTTGCATTTTGTATGTAGAACACTAGAGGGAGCCATAGAACAGCAAATGCCAGTGTTACATTTAGGTTTGCTCTTAGCACAACTCACATCATAAAAAGCGTTTTAATTTTAACATATTTACAATATATGGAACCAATTAACAACTTCAGTAGCACAAGAGGCTCATTAACCAGTGAAGTCAAACAATTAGGCATATGCCCTGTTATAAAGAGGTGGGTATTTAGGTAATATGTCATAGAACCTCTTGGGATTTGTTTCATTAGTTTGGCTTCTGTGTAAATTGGTTTTGAGAAAAGAGGACATGTCACAGATGAAAACCTATTTATCGAGATATGTACTTTACTATACTGTACTGTATAAAAATCACATATTTGCCAGTATCATATGAAGGGTTGATAGTCCATAATTTCTACTTCAGTAATCGAAAGCTTATGAACAATAAATACAAACACAAAATCAGCTGTTAGGGAGCATATCAGTGAATTAAAACTATTATGATTGTTGTTTGTTTCTCTGTGGAGAAACAGCAATCACAACAGTTTGAATTCACTGATCCGCAGATTCAGTTCCTTTGAGGGCCAACACTGAGCCCATGTGCTTATGGTGCTTCAGTGGCAAGTTTATTTATGAAAAGTGCGTATAAATAGTGCAAGAGGATACTGTGTGGTCAGGGTCATCAGGTCGGGGGCTGTGAATCCTAGGAGGTGGAGAGATGAATAGCTGGCGTCGTCTTGGGAGGGCCGGCGATGAGAGGTACTGAAAGGTCATGTTGAAAGTGATACACCCATAACTCAAGCCCCCCCGGTCACCCTCCATTCACGCTGTCCTCTCCCTTAAGGTGCCGCCAGGCCTAGCTTTACGTCTTTGTTAAGACTTTTCAGTAGCCAGAGGAGGAATGTCTAGAGTCCACTCAGACCTGACGGATTCACTTTCCATCCTTAAATGTTTTGTTACTGATGACATAAATAGATATGTTTGCTTGTCAAAGACATGGTTTCAAATGCATTTAATACTTCAACATGCTTCAAAGTTTTAACATGCGTTGTAAATTTAATTAACTTAATGTAGAAATATTCGAATATATTTTAAACATCTTTCTATAGTATATAGACTACAGTGCAAAGTTTGAGATCAGTAAGAGTTTTTTTTTTTGTTTGTTTGTTTTGTAAAAACTTAATTATTTTATTCAGTTAGGATGCTTTAAATTGATAAAAAGCAACAATAGACTTTTACATTGTAACATTTTTTTTATTTCAAATGAATGCTTTTAAATTAAATCCTGAAAAATATGTATAATGGTTTCCACAAAAATATTGAGCAGCATGACTGTTTTCTACATTCATAATAATAAGACATGTTCCTTAAGCATCAAATCAGCATATTAGAATCATTTTTGAAATATCATGTGACACTGAAGACTGGAGTAATGATGACAATTCAGCTGACAAAACAGGAATAAATTATATTTTAAAATAGAAAACAGTTATTTTAAATTGTAATAATATTTCATAATATTACTGTTTTTGCTGTATTTTGATCAAATAAAAGCAACATAAGAGACTTCTAAGACTACAAATCTTACCGACCCCAAACTAGTAGTGTAGTTTGAGAAGAAAATTGGAGAAAATATGATTCTGTATATTTTTATTATTATTATTACTCAGTGAATTATCATAATATTCTTTGAACATGAAATCGGCACATCACACACGCGGGCTCTTTAAAATACATAATCTAGAAATATAATAATATAGATAACATGTAAATGTTCAACAACAACAACAACAAAAACCTGCACACACCACTTTTCCCATGGTCCGCTAGCATAACTAACATAATTTGTCTATTATTATGATTAGATTGTGTGTTACTGCAACTATGGAATCCTGTTGAGAACATTTTATTCAGCTGTAGTTTTTCCCTTTCCTTCTTCCTTTCTTACTTCAAGAACATCCCTTTCTTACTCCATATCTACTATGGTAAATCACTACTATACTTTTACCACCTAAACAACATTTCCCAGTTTATAACTTTCTCTAACCTCAGTTAAACTAATACGCTACCAAACACTGTGTGAATCTCCTTGTCCAGGCTTTTGAAACAAAAATAAACTGCACCAGAAATAACCTTGCATGATAATAGAGCAGGTATTTATGCAAAAGTGTCTGAAGCAAAAGCTGGGTAAAATGGATTACTGCTGCCAGTAGCCACTGAGCAGCTCACCAGCAGCACTAATAACCTGTCCCCATAATATTCAGTCATTCCCATCTGCTTTGATTTAATGCCTATTAGCCAGCCTCCTCCATAGTCTCTGAGCTCTGATTGGTCCACTTATGTGCTAAGTCCAGGCAGCTTATAGTATTTGTAAAACGTGAGACACAAAGAACGCTTGTTCCTTTGCTGGAAGCCATGTGCGTGTGTGTGTTTACTTGGAGGATGTAAACCCATACGGTACCTTTCAGAGCAGGTTCATCATCATAGAGGGTCTCCATCCTGTGGGCGGTTAAACACAAAGAGGGGCAGTCTGGCATTTGAGAGGAAAGAAAAGATCACAAGCAGGAGATCTGAACTGGATAGCAGGCACTACAGAAGAGGACCTGGAGTCTGGACTGAAACAAGAACTGACTGACATACGTGTTTTGGATAACAGCTGGGGATGATATGATCTGTCATGTGGAGGACGCAGAGGCCGATGAGTTTATCAATGAGCTTGTGCTTCTGTCTGTGAAAGAACCAAGACACACATCCAACACCACTGCCAAGCGAAGCCAAAATGCCTTCATTTAAAGGTAATGTGTCTTTTTGCTCTACGCAACATTCTTTTCTATTTATACTGAATGGGAAAAAGACACAGGAATGAATGTTATTGTAATATTTGCCATTGTAACAGATTATAGCACTGCTACTGCTTACATTTTGAATCTATGTGCAAGCATGTATGTACATGAGTTTCTTTATTGACACAAAGTTGCGCTACTAAATGGGACAGATTCTTTATAACAGTACGACTTAGAGTTGCATTTATCCCATTACCCCTCTCAGCTTCAAGCTCTTTAAACAGCTTATGAGGTTTGTTGCCTTCTGGAAAGACATGCAACAACATGGAACATTGATGTTTAATCTTTGCTGACAGGCAGCATACTCTAATACAGTACATGGATGTCATTACATAACATCATGTCCACTCTGGGCATAAGTTTACACTTTTTGATACATTATTTGAGTCTTTGGAACCAATGAATGATATCTAAAACTCAGTCTCATATCTTTGAGATATATTAAACTGACAATTGACAAGATTATAAACAGTAGTTAATACTTGCATTCAAATGCAAACGTCTTTGATGGTTGTTCTGACAGTCCTATAATAGGAGCTTTATGCACTATTTAGTTACACAGTAAGTTTCTCTGGTAACAAAGACACATCTTTGTGTTAAACGTCTAGAAGGGGAGAAACATTTCTAGGCCTCTGGCACTCAGCTAAGACCATGCCACACGTCTGGTGCCAGGACACTGCTGCTAACAAAGTCAGCCGGAGGTTACTGTCATAGGGCAGCGTAACTTAGTCACTGTATCTCTTACTCTGATTCTATGTGATCAGAGATACTGTAAGTTATAATCAACCATGGGAATTTTTTTTTTTTTTTTTTGCATTATTATTTTTTTTCCATTTTCAATTTAATATTTTTAGTCATTTTGTTGTTTTGTCATTTTTATTGTTTTTTCCCCTGTTTTCATTTTAATTGTATTTAAAGTTTTAGTAATTTTGTTGTGCATTTTGCCATATTTTTTTTTTTTTTGGTAACACTTTATTTTAAGGTGTCCTTGTTACACATGTACTTATTATTATAATAACGATTAATTATGCATAATTACATGCAAGTAACCCTAAGCCAAACCCTAATCCTAACCCTAACCATATAGTAAGTACATGTAGTTAATTAATATTACTCGGTACTTATATGTATAATTACACTGTAACAAGGACACCTTAAAATAAAGTGTAACCCCTTTTTTTCTTCTCAGTTTTATTTTTATTTTAGTACGTCAAGTTATACTAATTGCTTTTCAGTTAGCCTACTCTATACAACATTCCTCTCATAGAGCACAGACTAGTTAGTACACAGGTTTTATTTGGTTCACAACAGGACATAACTGATCAGACTGAGGAGCAATCCAATAACCTGATTATTCAGACCCGCTGTGCTGATTAAATCTTATATAACACCTACCTCAAGACGTGGGGTCCAAAAGTCTCAGACATCGAGAAATTCAGAGATTTTTCTTAACCCTGGAAATAAACAGAAAGTTAGAAAATATTTAAATATCAAAGAAAGGTTATGATGTAAAACGAGTAAGAAATATGTAGCATTCTGGTTCACTAAGTGACACTGATCATGTGAATCTTTGCACATACAGAAGTTTTTGCTTCCACTGAAGCTCAAGGTGCTCTTTGTACTATTTTCAGATTTCATGATTATGAGGTTGTACTACACAACAAACTGGTCAGGGGGGAAAAAAACAAGAAACGTTGAAATTCACTTTATTTTCAGTTTAACTTTCCACTTAAATTATTCTACAATTTGTAATGAAAAAATATACTGAATTGGGAGTGGAAAAAGCAAAACATGAGCATTTTTACTAGTAGTCTCTGACTTTGACAGCGTCAAACCATATCAACCATTTTTTAATCAGTTAATTCCCTTTATCCCTTTTTTCTCCTTGAGTAAGACTTTAGTTGTTAGCTCTCACTTACAGCATTACCAGCACTTCACACTGACTCCATTATGTGTGAGAAGCTCATGTTTTGCACTCATCTGTAATTCAGCAATTGTTGACAGGAATACACCTAAAAACAATATTTTTTTTATTACCGGCATGTGTGAGAGGCTCATGTTTTGCGCTCATCTGTAATTCAGCAATTGTTGAGAGGAATACACCTAAAAACATACCTTTTTGGTGAAAATTTACTATAAAGAAAGCTACAATTCAGTGGTATGTGCAGCAGCAACGTGTCAGTGAAACCCAAGAACCGCTCAGTATTCGGTTACAGGAGATTTCACTGGTTTTAGTTTCCTGTGAACTACAGGCCTTGGTGGGGTTTGTCGGTATTGTGTATAGGTGTGTAGGCAGGAATGACCTGCTTTTCCCAGCCTGTGGCTCCAGACTAGTCCTTCACCTCTCTTGAGTCATTGTGTAGGGCCAGATTCTAATTACAGCCCGAGTGGGTGTGTGAGCAGAGCAACAATGGAAAAGCAACATGGAAGCCTCTGTAAGGTGGATCCAGAGGATGCTCTGTCCGCAAGTAAAACTATCCTTTTGGGGCTCCCGTAGCAATCACAGAGCTCTGTAGAAGGGGGAAGGGGGTCACTTCTTACACCCTGAAGAGGGACGCTTTATTCACTATACCGTCTCAAAAACAATGGAAGGAGCTCTGCTAAATATGTCAGCTGATAAGCCGTTGTCAGTATCTTGTAAAAGATGTTTTTACTTTAGTATTGGGGTCATGTTTGTCATGAGGGTTATCCTCATGAGGAAGATTCACAAAAGAATTACAAGATCGATTAGAAATTCCTAAAGCATCCTCTGGGAAGTTTCGCCGTCTCGCTGCCACAAAGTCCTGTTATTCCACACCTACAGGCTACTGTATTGAGTATTTATGTCAGTCGGATGGCACTGCTGTCGTTAAATTGATTTTTTTTAATCATCCACTGACAAGATGTACAATGCAGGCACATAATGGCATTTTTATAGGCGTGAGGTTATTAGATTCAGCTCAGGCCTAAAAATGAGGTGATGAAAAATAGAATTTCCCCAGGGTCAACTTAGTCCTTCAGTGAGAGTGAAACCTCAAAGTATGATAAAAACGAATAGTCAGCAGGCTATTAATGCAAAATAAACCACTAAAGGGTGATCAGGACTCTGATGCAAAGCTGAGGAGTCTTGTATCATCCTGAAAGGGTTTATTTCGCAAAAATGACCTGCTGACTTACTGTAATAAATAAGTCAACTTTAAATGGTTTTTCACCATATAAATTAGCAATATGAAATATTAATTTGAGTAAAATTATTTTAGTATGTGCAAAGAGACTGCAGAGTGATAAAAGAGACAAAACAAAATTTTTGTTGTGGAGCGACTACAGTTTTTTAAAATGGTCTACTACTACATATAAACTTCCAGTAGGGGGCAATATCAGTTCCCTCATAATCCCAGTATGTATGTTTCTGGCCTAAAGGGGTAGAGGAAATAGATGGGATGTCCATTTATCTCTGCTCTCAGTTCCTCTATTAGCGGATCACATTAAAAAGGCTAATTCTGTCATAAATAAGCTCTGTGTGCATTGAAAAATCAGTCCTGCAGCTACATATTTTGGGAATATTGTTGCTACTGTGCATTGTATACTACAATGCTCACACATTATGTTCAGTGAATAATATAATATAATATAATATAATATAATATAGCTTATAAACCCTAAAAAGAAATCAAACATTTCCATGTGAAAAAGATTATCATAAGTGGAATGTTAGCAATCCTTAAAGTTTAAAGCTGAATAAAGTCACTGAGTCTTGAAATGACTGTGAAATGGTACACACTGTGCATTGAGAGAGAAGGTAAAACTTCAGGATGGATAGTTAGCAAGCGGTATATTGAAAGATATCAGTGAGATTAATCATATACAGCTCTGTTATTATATGCTGAGGCTAATAGCACTTATCCATTGGTATAGTCAACACTGTGATATCTGAAATGAAGCATTACTGATTATCTTCCTCTCAGGTTTTCTATCAGACCCTGTCTGGTCTTTTGAAGGTGACAAAGTGCAAAGCATAGTGGTAGTTGACGGTTAAATTTAGATGTGTGAGCGAATGTCTGACAGGCTCAAGCAACTCTAGCGGGGACAAGGAAACTCCCAAAATGGTACTTGATGAAATATGTGGCATGTCTGCAGGGTGACCTGCTTAATGTGATCAGACTAACAGAAGGGAATGGAGGTATCAGATTAATTCCTATTGATGTATTGGTTCATTCACACCTGTTTGACATATTTTACAAAAAATTTAACAATACCGAAGATGTGATTTAGACCAATTCATAACTGGAACTAGAGGCACAGTCCATCAAAAAAAGAAGAAAAAAGAAAATCATTTACTCTCCCTCATGTCATTCCAAACCTGTATAACAGAACAGAAGATATTTAGAAAAAAGTATGTGGCATATGTATTGCATTTGTAGTCTAGCATAACCAAATGTTTTACTTTCTGTCCACATTGCAGATTATTCTGGGGTGCGTTTCCCGAAAGCAACTATGGTCGCAAGTTCCGTCGTTGCTAATAGAATTCAATGGAACTAACGACCATAGTTAGCTAACGAAGGTTTTGGGAAACGCACCCCTGGCCAATAGCCAGTGCTAGGTAATAACTAAGTACATATAATCTGTATTTCGTAATCAGATTCCAAAAATGAAGTACTCGTAATTAGATTATATATTACATTTTAAAATGCTGATAATAAGATTATTGTTACTTTTTTATGGATTACATGATTGCATCACACAATGGCGGTAAATTATTCATAATTTGCAGTTTTTTTTTGTTGTTGTTGTTGTTTTCACAAACCCCCGGTTTGGTAAATTCTGCTGAAATGTAATGTTTAATGCATTTCATAATATTGATAACAAAGAATGAAATATATTTTCTTTCTCTTTGTTATTTATTTATTTTAAATCAATATTGTACACAATAATCACATTCATTCTATGTGTTAAAGGTCAATAGCAATCTAAAAGTAATCAAAAAGTAGTCAGACTACATTACCTAATGTGTAATCCAGATGTTACTAACTAAAACTATGTTACCCCTTTTCACATAGCAGCACATCTTCCCATGAGCAGTGATTTGGCAATACTCACAACAGCAAAAGATCCAGACAAATCCATAGATGTGCACTAAAAGTGGAAGATTTAAGTGATGGTTTCGTTTGCTTTGCTTAAAAATAATGGTAATTTTCTTTCACAATAGTCAAAACACTGTCATCAACAGAAAATGTAATACAATTACGAGAGGCATTGTCACTTTAATGAATGATCCATTGTCGTTTCCACAATGAGCTTCCTCTAAACATCATCACACAGAGTGGATACCTCCAGGAAAACATTCCTCAGTAAATATTCACCACAAGGGAGGGGTTCTGCGCTATTCATTACCATCCCATGATATAAAGCATGCTCTCTGTTGGCTGTTACTATGACTACCAGGATCTTCTCCAAACCAATGAGAGCCCTTCACTTCTGTCGACCCAAAACAAGTGCATTGAGAAGGGGGTCGGCATGTCTCATCACTGATCCGCGTTTTCAATCTCTCGAGTCAAAAGAAAGCGCGTCTGAATTCTGAATATTGTGTCCGGGCAGCCATAGCGCTCGTTGAGAGGGATAATAATAACCTGCCGCTCGCGCTGTTGTTGCTGAGAAGCTGCGCGAGGGAAATGGCGCGAGAATGGATTCATGTTTTTGATGCAAACACACGTGTGTGCTTTCACTTAACGGAATAATAATTAATGAGGGGATTTAAACCGCGTTTGTTGAGTCTACTGGATCGCACAACATATGGGAGGTAAGTACTCAAGGAACATTTTGCATTTATTTAATTTTACCCTTTGCCTTAAACGTTTGCGTTAAAAAATGCATTTTGCGTTATTGCATAAAATAGTTCGCTCTGAATTAAACAGCATATACTATATGGCATTTTGTATTTAACATTATGCGCTATAAAATTATTTCGTATTGAAAAATGCACTAGAAAAAAATGGGATTAAACATTACACAGTATCAACTATTTTTTTTATTTACCAATGTGCCGATTTAAAAAGCTTGTATTGCTGCACGTGAGTTGCATTCGGTTAGGTTCGACATGCTGTTGGATTCTCTCACACCTATGAAACTGTCAAGCTCGTGATGTACAGTATCACGTGAGAGCAGTTACATATGAGATGCAGGAGACTGTAAGGAAGTATCATAGAGCGACATAGAGACAGAACTACGTCAGCACAAAGTGCTTTGCACACAGATGTCTGTTGCGAGGTACCTGGTGTAAATGAAGTATTTAATGATTAAAGGAGCCAGGGCCTTGCGCGTACTTCCACTGGAGCTTTAAATGATCCCTCGGTCAATGGTTGCTGTGCAGCTGTCATTAATGTGTCACCGGCTCTGAAGTGCTTGAGCAGGCGCAAGGTCAAGGAGGTCATTACAGATGTGCACTACTACGTCATAGACTAGGTGGGCTACATAATAATAGTCTTCTTTATTAAAAGAGCATATGATATCATTGTGCCATTTTTTTCATAGAATTAAAATTCTTATTCGTCATATCTGGAATTCACAAGTTCTACCGTTTTCATCATTGTCTTTTTTTGGAAGGGACCTATTTTATTATTATTTATGGCTATGAAAAGTTGGGTTAAGGCCAAGTTGGTCTACTGCTACTGTGAAGGTGGTTAGGTTCGACATGCTGTTGGATTCTCTCACACCTATGAAACTGTCAAGCTCGTGATGTACAGTATCACGTGAGAGCAGTTACATATGAGATGCAGGAGACTGTAAGGAAGTATCATAGAGCGACATAGAGACAGAACTACGTCAGCACAAAGTGCTTTGCACACAGATGTCTGTTGCGAGGTACCTGGTGTAAATGAAGTATTTAATGATTAAAGGAGCCAGGGCCTTGCGCGTACTTCCACTGGAGCTTTAAATGATCCCTCGGTCAATGGTTGCTGTGCAGCTGTCATTAATGTGTCACCGGCTCTGAAGTGCTTGAGCAGGCGCAAGGTCAAGGAGGTCATTACAGATGTGCACTACTACGTCATAGACTAGGTGGGCTACATAATAATAGTCTTCTTTATTAAAAGAGCATATGATATCATTGTGCCATTTTTTTCATAGAATTAAAATTCTTATTCGTCATATCTGGAATTCACAAGTTCTGCCGTTTTCATCATTGTCTTTTTTTGGAAGACACCTATTTTATTATTTATGGCTATGAAAAGTTGGGTTAAGGCCGAGTTGGTCTACTGCTACTGTGAAGGTCATGACAAAGGCATTAACACTTAATTATTGAAATATTTTAACATGATTGCCATGATCTATCCTTGCAAAAAAGAAGTATACTTTAGCATAATTTTGAAAGGAGTACTTAAAAAATAGACTTAAATGCAAACTGAATGTGATGTTGAAATATTTTAACATGATTGCCATGATCTATCCTTGCAAAAAAGAAGTACACTTTAGCATAATTTTGAAAGGAGTACTTAAAAAATAGACTTAAATGCAAACTGAATGTGATGTTTTTTTTGGACACTTCATTGCATGTTATTTGCAATTAAAATGAAATGTATTACAGTTTAAATTGATATTGAATTAGTTGAACTTAGTCAGCTAATGTAAAAAAGTGTCAAAAAAGTACTTTTAAGTAGGACTTTAGTTACTTTTTATATGCAAATAAATAAATAAAAATAATGACTTATATTGTCTGCTGAAATATGGTTAAAGTGTACTGAGGAATATACAATAAACATTTATGGTAAAAACATATATGTTTACTTAAGGATGTTAAGAACATTAAATCAAACATTTCCAGGATATTAAGGATATTACTTGGCATTTGTTAATCTCTAGCGATGGATTCTGATGCTTCTGTGTTTATGTTTTTTGTTGTTTTTTCTGCAGATCTAAGACCCTTGAAATTTCGGCCTTTCTGCTTTCTTCTAAAAAAAAAATAAAAATCACAACAAGCATGATTTGTAGGAAAATCCAGACCATGTCAAATTTTTGGCTAGACATCTGATTTGTTTTGACTGAAGTTATATTTAGAGAAATATGCCAATATCCTATACACTGTGTCTCACCAGTAAACTTTTTCACTTTTGGGAAACTGTTTGCTAAGTTCTGCATCATGACCTGATACCTTCCTTTCAGCTACACTTTAAAAGCTCCGGGTGATGTAAGACCGAAATCATCTCAGGCACGAGCATATGAGTGATGTTAGCTTTCCTGGGTGGTTTTCTTTGGCTCAGGTTTGTGCTGACACCTTCAGTCTTTGCACATTCTCTGAGCTCCCGGGTGACGGCATCTCTCACGACAAGAGGTCTCAGACCTTCTGTGCAGCTCTTACTCTCTTACTGTTAGAAATAAAGTCAATCTCAGCATGAAAAGTCTTTGCAGGGGCATTCAAGTGTGAAATTTGTCCTGATGTGGGCTATAATGTTTGAGAACAATACAGTAAAAATTCTGAAATTCTTTTGGCCCTGGTGTCTTCTTGAGGGTTCATTTGTTGCACATTATATTGAGTGCCAAGTTAATAATTTGTCTTCATAGAGTAGCAACGTGACTCCGAGACAACTTCCTTCACTCTAAAACGCTGATAAACAAGAACTGTCATCAGCACAAAGCGTCAGAGAGAAAAATAGAGCCAGCATGATGGAGCTTGAATCACTAAAGTGTATTTTAAGTGAACTTGAAATAAAAACGATATTAAGTGCACTTAAAATGGATAATGCAGCTATAGAAAATTAGTGAAAGTGAATAAAGATGTTTCTTAGAATCTCTAGGATTTTAATTTATTTTATAAATGTTACCTGACAGTAATACTAAATTGTGCATATAGTTAGCATATAGTATTAGGTATGCCATGGCATACTCGAGATGTTTGGCCACTCATAGAGATCTTCTTAAGCACTGATCTGTATGTGTTGTCACTTTCCCCCAGAGGCGCGGAGTAACTTTCCAGCCTGCAGACGTGCATGTCTCCATCTGAAAATAGCTCGAACTATAGCACTTGCTCTGAGAGGGGGCTTGCCTCTCACTTTCTTACATCTTTTGCCTCCAGAAACCAGCTACAGTCTGGGACGTTAACCCTGAAACGCAGCGGATCGTCTGGGCTAAAGTGAGAAGTGTGGACGTGGAGCCTGCTGCTTGTCAGTTCGGACCCGGCGCCTGCTTTCAGTCCTAATGCCTGGTGAGGATTTGCTTTTCATTTTGTCTGGGACTGTATATATTTTATCAAATATTTGTAGTATTTTTAGTAAGGTGTGGTATAGAGAATAAGTCTTTTCCCATAAATATAACAAACATTTACTTTCAATAATACAAAAAAAAAGCCTGTAAATAAAAAGGCTGTAAAGTGCAGTGTATAAAAGAAAAACGGTATTTAGGATTAAGCACATATTAAAGAAATGACTGATTCATCATATCATTTGAAAAGAAGGGACTCAATTATTAGATTTTATAATGCAATACTATTGATCTTATTATTATTATTATTATTAGGGACAGTCTAAATGGAGCCTAAAAGCCTGATTTGAATGATTGCTATTTTCTAAAAATAAACATTAAATAAACAGCAAACAACAAATTAAATAGACAAAAATTGTTAAATGAAAATATAAGTAAAAAAAATAAAATAAAATAAAATCGGTCACAGTGAGTAATAGGGTTGCAAGTAAACGTTGCTCAGTGGAGTAGCTAGATAGTTTGGGGCCAAATAAATGATTTGACAAATTATGTATATTTCCTATGAATTACAGAAACATATTTCATCTTAACAAGAACTTGAGTAACAGGGTTGAATGGTTAAGTTTGATAAATGCCGTCAACACTACAAATGTAAAAATAAAATCGGGTTAATGAAATTAGATTATGTACTTGCACAAAGCTGTAGAAAGGGTCAAAGAAAGTGTCACAATTCTAAATAATATATATATATATATATATATATATATATATATTTT